TTTCTGCTATGCCTTGCAAAACGGGATCCTGTATCCCCGAAAGAGAGTCCTCATCGTTGCGGTCTTTAACCCCAAACCCTTTTGAAACTACAGCATGAAGGCTGCGAGCAGAGTTGAGGTGTAAGGATATGCTGACTTTTGGCAAGGGTTTGGGGCGTAAGGATTGGGTTAGTTAGGGCGCTTGAGGGTTTAAGCGCACAGGGTTTGCTTGATACACAAGAACGACCAGTCAGTCTGTCCCCTCAAAGTCCCTCTATCATTGATATGACGCGGCATCCGAAAAACCCACTGCGGTTATTAGATATTCACGCCAAAAAGAACCCCAAACCCTGAACGCCCTAAGTGGGGCCTTTAGCTTAGGCGGGCTGGCTGGTCCTGTCCACAAAAGGTTTCTGCAGCCGTGGGAAGGACTCCACATCCTCTATAGCCAAGGCTTTAGGGCTTAGGGTTCAGGGTTTAGGGGTGTGGGTGTCGGGGTTTAGGGTTAGGTGCTTGGGGTTTAGGAACTTGGGGTTATTAGAGGTTTGGGATTTAGGGTTCAGGGCTGGTTTAGGGTTAGGGCCTTTTCCGATTGCAGGATCCACTAGCCTAGGCTTAGGGTTTTGAGTGTCGGGAGCCGAAAAGCCACCAACGCAGCAAACTTTAAGGGAGAGGAGGCTTGGAGCTTGAGGTTTGGGAAATACGCGTTTTTTTTTCGGTTTTTTTTGTATGTTTTGGGTTTGGGGTGAGAACCTGGGACGGCGAGGGCGTGCAAAGGATGCTCATGGGTGCACCGCTGCTGCCTCCGCATAGGGAACCAGATGAAGGAAACTTCCCCCAGATTCCGCGTATCGTAGGCAGCCAGACGATCTTCAAGTTGTTATCATGATTACTAGCACGATTGTTAAGAACAGCTCTGAGCTGACGGATTTGCAATTTCTGTCATGTTCCCCTTGGCAATGACCTCATGAAGTACTCTATAAATTTACAAGAGCACCCATGACCTCAGAAGGCCCTTCTAAAGTCCTATTCTCCTTCTAGCATAAACCGCTTCAGGTTTGTGATACGGTTGATGATTTATAGACTATGGGCATTATGGTATCTCCCTCATGATGGGTCATGCAGGATTTATATCATCAACCGCAGCACCCCGCCTCGGTCCCAAAAAGCTCCACCACTTGGCCCGGCGACGGGTCGGCCGAGCCTCGGAACGAGGAGCTTAGGAGCCCGAGCCCTGAGGCACCAGGGGCGGCTGTCACAAAAGGGTGCAGACAGGATTAGGCTGTAGGGTTAAGGGTTTAGGGTTTAGGGTTTCAGGTTTTACCGTTTAGGGTTTAAGGTTTCAGGGTTCAGGGTTTCGGCGTTAGATTTCAGGGGTTTCGGCTTTAGATTCGAGGGTTTTGGGTTTGGGGTTCAGGGTAAGAAGATCCGCACTGTGACAGCAACCTGTCTTGTTGCGTTTTGGGGACAGGTACTTGGCCTCAACAATCGCGGGTATTTCGTCATAAAGCACACAGACAGGATGGAATTGGACAGCAGACCGCTATCACAGGGGTGACAACCCTGAGAACAAGAGTACTAAGATCTGAAGCCTGCCATCCAAACCTAAACCAGCAGCCCCCAAAGCAAGCAGCCTCTTCTCCAAGCTGAAGATTTTCATCCAGCAGACACATGCCCAAACAGAACAGCGGATCAATGACGGCTAGCCCAAGGAAGGGAGCCAGTCCATTGCAGACAAGCAGCTTATGCCCTTGTTCCGAGCGCGCTCGGGGAGCCTAGCATGCTGCGAGTCCAGTGAGATAGGATTTAAGGTTGAGCGCCTCACGTTGGTTACTATAGCCTCGATTAAATGCAGCCCTGACACTTGGGGCTTCAGGGCTTTGGGAAATTTTCAGGGCCTAGCAGCTCGTAGTCACGGGCTTCTCAACCAGGCGAGTTGCTCGTCAGCACGCTCGTGCGCAGCGAGCGCCGCTGCGTCTGCGAAGCGCCGGAGCCTATTGGGGGGAAGGGAAAACGGGTCACATAGGGGCATGAATAATTAGAATAGAGTTTTGGGGCCCATTGTACTATAATCATAATAAGGAACCGCCAAGATAGTATGGGTAATTATCTAGGCCCCTATAGTATCTAGACCCAAGAGTAGCCTAGGAATAAAAAGGGTGCCCTTTTTGGTTTAAAGGGGCTTATAAGAAAAACCTGAACCCCAAAAAAGGGAATAAGGGCCTACTCTAGGTCCCTATAGTATAGTTTAGGGTTCAGGGTTCATGTCCCAGTCTCAGGCCTCTGGAGGGTTTGGGGGCGGAGATGAGAGGAAGGGAAAAGAGCGACCAAAAGGTCCTGAGCCATCAAAACCCTAACATCCGCTTGAAGTCCTAATCGAACCCCCAAAGTATGTAGAATAATGGCGTTTTACAAGTACTGGGCCATTGTTTTACATACTTTGGGAGGTTTAGGTAATCGAACCCTTGCACAGAACTCTTGTAGAACCCCTTAACCCCTCAATCCTCATCGAACCCTTTGAGAAGAGCCCCATCGTACCTTTCTACTTGCTGTAATTTGCCACCCCAAAACCCAACTTAGGACGGGGCCTTTAATTACACCTTTATATTTACCCTTTTCAGGAACCCTTTAAAGGAATCCTTGTAAGGAACCCTTTATTATTGGAACCCGCTTAAAGGCAGGAAGGGACGGAACCCCTGCAGAGGAATCCTCCTATACGGAACCCTGTTCGAATTCCTAAGGCCCCCATTCTAGAACCCTATAGAAGCCTTTTAAAGGGGATCCTATCATAGACCCCTACATAGCACCCTTTAAGTATACTAAGACCCCCCCCCCCCCCATGTTCAGCACTGTCGCTGCTGGGCCCGAGACTGAGGTGCTAGGATGGCCCGGCAGTAACACCCTGGGAGAGACCCGGCTTTCGGGCTCTCCTCTAAGGCGAAGGCTTCCTTAAGGACTTCAAGGGTTTGTGGGTTTCGGGTTAACTTCAGGGTTCAGGGCTTAGGGGTTACGAGGTTTAGGGTTAACTTTATGTTTTGGGGGTTTAGGGGTTTAGGGTTGAAGGTTTAGGGTTTAATTGTAGCTTTCAGAGATCTGCTTGAACGTCTGCGAGGGCTAATGTGTCAGGGTTCTACCAGGACTCTAGGGCTTACTACCATGTTCAAACTAGGTGGGGCTTTTAAAGCCTTTGAAAAATAATAGCAAATAAGATCCTCTTAAGCCCAATAAGGGAAAATATAAAATGTCCCAAAGCCCTACCTAGTCGTGCTCTGAGGCTTGCGACGCCTAGAAGCCCTCAGGGCCCTCAGACGCCTGAATTTCATGACCATGTCTGGAAGGTTTATAAGGGTTTCGTGCTTTTTTAGGGTTTAGGGCTTAGGGCTTTAGGGGTTTAGGGTTGCAGGGGTTTAGAGTTTAGGGCTTTATTAGGGGTTTAAGACAGGGCTTTAGGGGTTTAGGGTTGCAGGGGTTTAGAGTTTAGGGCTTTATTAGGGGTTTAAGACAGGGCTTTAGGGGTTTAGGGTTGCAGGGGTTTAGAGTTTGAGCTTTATTAGGGGTTTAAGACAGTATGTTATCATGTGGCGCGGTGCTCTCATCTGCACGGATACACGTGCCCTTGCGATGCACTCCCTATACCAACCCAACTGAGTTCTGCTGAAATTCATCGTGATCTCGCCCGCTTGTGTCTCGCAATATTGTCTTTTCAAAGAAGTGAAACCGTGAAACCCCGAAAAAGCCGTACAAAAACATCAGCAAACAGCGGTACTTCCTTCCTGCCGATGCTGTCTTACAGGAATGGTATTGATAATCATCCCGACCTCCAAGTTTCGGACACTATTTCCCAAACTTAAACACAAGGACTGGAAAAAACCCTTATATCCAGGGGTAAAAGGAGGGATCCTTGATGAGGACCCCTAATTAGGTATATACCCTTAATATAGCTAGTATATACCCATTATAGGGTAGGGGTCCCCATTAAGGGTCCCTCCTTTTCCCCTTTGATTATAGCAGCCTAAGGATGTCTTGGGAGCTGGCGTAGGCACAAAGCAGGGGCCAGCCCCCGCGGCATCCCAGCGGCGCATGGGGCTCGAAAGGAAGCGCTGAGCCCAATACCCTTTTATTTTCGGGAATATGACTTAGCCTATGTTTACACGCCTGCTGAACGTGGTTTCAAGACTGATTGGTGGGTATGGGAACTATTCGAATAGGCCTTCGGATGTACTTCAGCGTTATGCTACAGTAAGGATACAAGGACATAAGTATACATGATGATAGTATGAGAAACATTTCATATAGGTATTACAAGGGGGCTATTATATACGAATCACTCAGGCCCCTAGGAATGATATTGCGGTCGTGAATCGGATGACTGTTCGATGACGACGGTCCGCCTGCTGGCAAAACAGCCACGTCCGGAATCTGTCCCTATAGACGTCAAGTCTAAGTCGTGCCATGCACTCAGCCGCTTGTCTGAACTAGCCTTCTACTAGACCCAAGAGTCACCTAGGAATAAAAAAGGGTGCCCTTTTTGCTTTAAAGGGGCTGACGAGGGAACCTCAGCCCTAAAAAGGGCATAAGGGCCTACTCTAGGTCCGAGGCTATAAGGCTATGTAATATAAGGGCCAATACTACAGTTGTGGGTTCCCTAGTATAATTTCAGGATCAGGGTAGAGTGCATCTTCCGGTTCGTCAAGTCATGCAGAAGCCGAGTCGGGAGGAACATTTTCAGACGCAGGATATGCCCGGAAAGCCGGAGATTCGAATTTCTCCGCCATGGGAAGCGCATGCACTCAACGGCCCCCTTTCAGCCGTCGACGTGAGACTGACAGCCTGCCCTGTCCGGATCATCTTTGCCCGAAGCTGCCAAAGGGCAGGAGCTTTGCACTCCGGCGTTGCAGAGCGGTGCTGCAAATACATCAGCACGGGGAAATGCAGATTGCGACATGGAGACTGCTGCGACTGCTATCCCCACCACCCCGACCCCACATCCCGTGCAACTGCAACTGCAGCTGCCACAGTCCTCACGGTGGCCTCAACGCCTGCATTGGATGCTGGATGCGAAGATCTTGCTTGCTCAGGGTACATGAACTTATGGAAAATCCGCAGGGGCATCGATCATGCTGCACCCGATGCTCGGGATCTGAGGTTAAGCTCCCACCCGCCTCGTCATGGCGCTTGATGAAGTTCTCCGCCGTCGCCTTGTCGCGGAGAGGGATGCTCACCCAAGATCACTCAAGCGTCCACCATGAGCCTTAAACGGTCACATGCCTTGCCAGAGTGGCTGTTCAAGGGCAGCGGCAGCAGGAGAGTCAAGAAAATCCCCCAAGCAGCGACTGAAGCTACTTGTAGTCGTGTCAACACTCCTAAACCCTAAACCCCTAAACCCCTAAACCCCTAAACCCCTAAACCCTAAACCCTAAACCCTTAAACCCTAAACCCTAAACCCTTAAACCCTAAACCCTAAACCCTAAACCCTTAAACCCTAACTCAACTTGTACATTCCTCATGGCTGTACCTCCGCAACCTTCGTGGCTTCCTCATGGTGGGCATCGACGGACAAGTCCTCCGCAGTGATAGCCACAATGGCAGCAGGACAAGTCTCTCTGTTACACTGTTATCATGACTACTGCCATATATATATATATATATATATATATTATTATTATTATATATTATATATTATATATTATATATTATATATTATATATTATATATTATATATTATATATTATATATTATCTGTTATCTATTATCTATTATCTATTATCTATTATATATTATCTATTATATATTATATACTATATATTATATATTATATATTATCTATTATATATTATATATTATATATTATATATTATCTATTATATATTATATATTATATAGTATATTTTATATATTATATATTATATATTATATATTATATATTATATGTTATATATTATATATTATATGTTATATGTTATATGTTATATATTATTTATTTATATATATATATATATATATATATATATATATATATTATGTATATATAGATATAGTCATAACAACAAGAACAGTGACAGTACTAATCGCAATACGCAGCGGCAGCAAACAAGGGGCCAGCAAGCAACCAAATCACGCCGTCGACTCTTTGAGTCTTACTTGAGAATCATAAGCATTGGTTTACCCCAAACCCGAAACCCTAAATCCCCAAAACCTAAACCCTAAACCCTAAACCCTGAACCCTGAACCCTAAACCCTAAACCCTAAGACCTGAACCGTCTCATCCCTGACAACTCTGCTTACGCGGGCTCTCCTGCGGCAGCTGCGACAGCGTCTCGTCCAAAGAGGCGCCTGAAGCATACGGTGGATGATATAAATCCTGCAGTACCTTAAGGACCCTAAACTATGGGAATTATGGTATATTCCTTATTTTGGGTAATGCAGGATTTATATCATTAATCGTAGGAGCTCCCAGGAACAAAAGGGGCCTGGCGCTTTGGGATTTCGGAGCTCGGGGGCCTGCAGTCATATGGCACAACATGGCCCAGGCAGTCCAACACCCTTTCCTTGCGGAAACTAGCTTCGGGTTCTAGGGCTTATCGGGTTTAGGGTTTACGCCTTCTAGGAAAAGAATACTATTGTCAATAGCTCAAGCTGACGTCAGTGCCAAGAGTGGTCACGATTAAACATAAGTGCCAGAGTGTTATTCGTAGCACAGATCACGGCCAACATCAACAATGTGATAGTAGCGACGACGACCACAACTATTACAGCAATCAGAACAAAAGCGATACTTCTCCAAACATCTCTCCATTTCATGCAGCCTTCGGAGCCTGGCATAAGAAGCAGCTCCCAAAAACTCCTCAAGGATCCCGGTTTCGGGTAGGATTTAGGGTTTTAGGGTTAGGGTTTCAGGTTTTGGTTTTTCGATGGCTTTAGGCTTAGGGTTTAGGTTTACAGATCGGAATTAGAGGGTTGGGGTCTAGTTAGGATTTAGGGTTTGGGGTTTTGGGTTTCGGGTTTTGGGTTTCGGGTTTAGGGGTGTAGGGTTTGGGTTTTGGAACCGCGAGTACCTGGAGCCCACAATCCCTAACCATTTTGCAATCTTCATCTCCGAGGACCCGACCCGGCTCAGCCGCTGCCGAAGGCGTTGCATCACTAGCCTGACAAGGTTTAGGGTTTAGGCCCTAGTTAAGGCTTTAGGGTTTAGGCTTTTTAGGGTGGAGGCTTTAGGGTTTAGAGTTTATGGTTTAAGATTTAGGCTTTAGGGTTTAGGCTTTAGGGTGCAGGGTTCCCTTAGGATCCAAGCCCAGAGTCCAAAACCGTTGTAAAACCCTCTTAGAACCATTTGTAACCGCCCTTATGGGACACTAAAGTGTAGAGCCTGCCTGTTTCGAAACCCAATGTACCCTTCATAGAATCCGCTAGGACCCTTTGAACCCATATAAAATCCTCACAGAACCCTCGAAGAACCCTCATAAATGAAATCATAGAGCCCTCAGTAAATCCTCCACAAACAAGCCCAAAACCAGTCTAAGAAGTCTGAGATTTTAGAGCACTTCAACCCAGCTAAGCCCTACACCCTAAACCCTAAACCTGAAAGCCCTAAACTCCTAAGCCTCTGGGCGTCTTTTGCACCCGTCGAACCTGCCACCTGAACCCTCGATAAGCCCTGTAGGCCCTATAAGCCCCAAACCCTAAGGCCTAAACCCCAAACCCTAGACCCTAAACCCTACAAACTAGTTATTCATGACCCCTTAACTAGAGGGTAGAACCCTCAAAACAGTAGGCTTTATATTTTTGGATCCCCAGATAGACCCTAAACCCTACTGACCCCTACTCCTAAACCCCAAAGCCCGCTTTACGTACACCCATCTACACCCCAAGCCACAAAATGTAGACCCTACCTTAACCCCACGTAACCTACCTTTTTAAGGACTTATATAAAGAAATCATATTAGGGAACCCTAAAACGGTAGGTTCCGTAGGGTCCAGGTAAACCCTACACGAGAGGCCTCGGGTTGCCCCGAAAGCTTCGAGGGCCGACGAAATGAGTCGGTCCTGTCATCGGATTAATTATGAACAGAGCTTATATCAAAGCGGAAAAGGAGGGACCCGTCATGGGGACCCTTACCCTATAATGGGCTATATCATGGGTATATAATAGCTATATTAAGGGTATATACCTAGGGGTCCTTATTAAGGGTCCCCCCCTGTTGGCTGTTAGTTATGAGGGTGGTTGTCAAAATTATGGTCCCTTGGGTGACTATAGTACGGCACCTATTACCCCACTATTATAGTACGGCACCAATTACTTAGGGTACCCCACAAGGGCCGTAATTTTGACAACTACCCATGAACAGAGCTTACAACGGGCTTTACGGTTTAGCGGGCTTAGAACGGCGTTTAGGGTTTAGGGTTTAAATATAGGGCCTGGAGAGTTTATAGAGGGTTTAGGACTTATATAGGGCTTATAGGGGGTTCGGGTTTAGGGATCCAGCATGAAAAGGTTTCTGGGGGATCGCATAAAGGGTGCGTAAGGCGCGCGATGGGGTTATGATAAGGCTCGCATAAAGCTTCTAAAGCGCCCACAGAGCCTAAGGAATATACCCTAGACCACAAGATAAAGTCCCGTACTATCTATTGAGAATAAAGCATACTCCGTACTTCAGGGGTATTGGGGCATTGGTTTGTTGAGGGTTTGGGAAGACCTAGGGGTTCAGTTCCTCACACCCTTAAGGGTTCCCCCAGTGGTTCTACTTACCTGGACCCCACAAAGTATGTAGAATAATGGCCATTCATAGGTTTGGGGCCACTATTCTATCTACTTCTGAGGGTCTAGGTCTAGGTACTCTGATTTTCGATCAGGTCTCCGGGTTGGGGCCGGTAGGTTATGGACTGTGAAGCTTCGGGGTTGCTGAATTTTGGTGTTCGGGGAAACCGCTATCCGGACGGCTGAGCCGTCTCGACCTGCTCCAAAGGTGCAACGGGAGCCTTAGTGCTCAGAATAGGTACTTGGGGGGACGAGTATACTATCATGCTTGGCTTCCATATAAAACGATTGAGGATCATTTTGGGGTAAGTTATACTATGATCACTGGCTTCCATATTCAACAATGAGCTCACGCCTCTGCTGGCAGAATGCACATCACAAGCCTCAATTGCTGAATGCCAAGTTGAATACATTCCCGCTCGCATTCCACGAGGACCCAACATGCATTACCGCCAAAGTCGCGATGATTCCTAAACCCCAAACCCCAAACCGCCTCCTGATGCCGCTGTCCCTGATCCCAACCTGCTTTTCGGTGACAGGTTAGAGACCTACTAGAGGCTGTCAGCTGTCAGGCAGTGATGGGCCCGTGTAAAGTTTAGAACTTAACTGCTAATTCAGAACAACTTGCAAAGCGCTCAGCCTCAGCGTTCTGGTGCCCCTCTGCTTATGCAAAGCTTGTGATAGAATTTCGGGCCCCAGCGATTTAAGGACCTGGAAGAAGACACTGCCAACGTCAGCCCGTCAAGAAGATTGATCTAAACAATCGGTGTCTCTTGCAGGGCTTCTTGTCACAGTGAGCTCCTGTCTAAATATGTACCGAGAAGAAAAGTCACTTGGAACACCGGTCGTAGAGAAACGTGCATGGGAGGGGCAATTTTGAGGTACCCGAATGTAAACTCATGTAGACTGCATCTGTCCATTCAGATCCCCATCGCTTTGTAAAGCCAATCGTCCTTTCGCTTATGATTTTGAGGGCGTAGTTGGCCAATATCGTCTCGTATCGGGGTTCATCATTCGGAGTGGCAGGCAGTTTCGGGAAACTCGCTGTTGAAAGGGTCGGGTGCCGAGATCTCAAAGTTGGGCGCACGCACACAGGGCGAGATGGGGAGGGAGACAGAGAGAAAGAGAGGGATAGGGAGAGAGAGAGGGAGAGAGAGAGAGAGAGAGAGAGAGAGAGAGAGAGAGAGCGGGAGTGTAGAATACACAGATGCCCGCCTTGGGATTTTTGGCACCCTTCGGCCTCAGGAAGGATTTCGGGTTTAGGGTTTGGAGGCATGCGAGGCTTGGGAGCTTGAGACAGTGTTGCGATTTTAGAAGGATTGTGTAAGGTCGCTCTACATCTATAGTATGATCTGACCCTGTTGTGATATGGCCCTTCTTTTGCGATTGAAACACCATATGCACACGACAAAGTTCTGTTCGAACTGTCTTAGGCCATGGTTGAACACTAAACCCTGTGTGGAACCTGTCGTGCTTCCATCCACGTGCACGAGCCAAAGAGACGCACTGCAGGAACCTGGCCGACAAATACTCGGATCTAGATCCCAAACACTAATGCCTGAAAATTGAGACGGAGGCACTGTCATACAGAGCTCGGCTCAGAATCCCAACATACTTGGATCCACATCTGACAGGAGAAGTGCCGAAACTATACACTAACCCAACCCCTACACCCTAACCCCTAAAACCTAGACCCCAAAACCCTAAACCCCCAAACCCCAAAACCCTAAACCCCAAACCCTACACAACGTTACTGCTCGAGCCGGGAGCGGCGCTTCGGCTTCGCTGTTTGCAGGTTTGGCGGCAGCGCGGGCCTCGGAGAACGTCAGGAGGCTAGGGTTCCTTCAAGGGAGTTTGGGGAGTTCAAGGGTTCCTTCAAGGGAGTTTAGGGAGTTCAAGGGTTCCTTTAAGGGAGGTTTTTAATGTAAACGCTGCTTAGTAATTATGCTATGATATTATCGGGGAATCTCGAGGTTCCTGATAAGGGTTCATTTACGGATATACTATCCGAGTTACTATCCAGTTCTATAAGATGATGTAATCACGATTTATCTAGGGTTCCTTTAAGGGTTCATTAGTGGAGATAGCATGATATATTGAGGGTCTAGGATAACGGAAAGATTAATTACAGTACAGTACCCCCAGGAATATACCATGAGCGTATGGGCTAAGGACACCCCGACACCAACCCAAACACCAACAGCAGCAGCAGCAACAAGAAGAAGAACAGGAGTCCTACTACTCACGAACGCCAATCTGCCACAGGTCCCTCGTTTGCCAGGCTCGCCCCCTGCTCCATGCATGACCCTTAGTTCCCCTTAGTCAAAGGATTTTGGAGTCGTCTCTGCCTGACATGCGGTCGGCTAGTGGCCTGTACATTCCTGCTCCCGTCAGACAAACTACGGTGGATGATATAAATCCTGCATTACCCATAATAAGGAATATACCGTTGTTCCCATAGTTTAGGGTCCTTAAGGTAATGCAGGATTTGTATCATCAAGCGTAGCACAGGTCCAAGCTCGAAGCCCCAAAACCGAAAGGCCATGCCACATCTGCTGGGGCATCCACGGCGGCACGCTAACTTCTACCATGGTAGTGATGTTATCCTGCACAGCGGCAAGAAAGCTCAGTATCGTTGCAGTTGAACAGCACAAGAAGACACTCGAGCAAATGCTAGCTGTGCAGTCAGCGGCCAATGCTGAACACAACACTTCTGGTAGACTTGTCCGTGCCTGGGGCGCGACGAGCACGCACTGATACAGGAGGAACTGCTGGAAGAGAGCCCCTGTCACATCGTCGCGGGCTTAGGGGTGCAGAGTTTGGTTGATCGATAACGTCTTCATCATCATCGTCATAATTATGAGCATAAACATCAACATACAAAGAATGAGGACTCGTGTCCTATCAGCCTAGACCCTCAAACCCTAAACCCCGCTAGGTAGTCCTCAAACCCAGTAAAAGTCAATAGCGTACTCCCAAACCTGCACCCGCAAGGAGCCCTGAAAGAAGCCCTAAAGCAACCCTTGAAGAACCCTTCAAGGAACCCTTAAACACTTCAGTCCGATCCCCCTTGTCTTTTGATGACAACTTGGCGAAGCCAGCAGAGCCCTAGAGTCCTGAGGAGAATGGCACAGGCCTGTCAGGAACTCAGTGAGTAGACGAACTTCTGAGAGAGTGAAGACCTCACGCAGGGGGCAGGACGCGGGGGGGGGGGGAGGGTGCGCGAGTTTCGATGATTATGTGAAGGGCTCTTTTGAGGGTGTAGGGCGGTTCGCTCTATGAGGGCTAAGGGCTCGATAAGGATTTTGGGCTCGAGGAGTTCAAGGGCTGAGGGGCTGTAGGGTTTAGCAATGCAAGGCTTTGGGCTTGAGGGCTTTAGGGTTTTACCCTTTGGCGTTCAGGGTGTAGGGTTTTCGGCTGGGTTTAAGGTTTCGAAGTTTACAGCTTTAGGCAGCGCAGGATTTGGGATGCAGGTATTGATCTAAGACTTGCTCTGTCTCCTTTTTAGCCGCTTGCTGCTTCGAAGTTTCAGCATGCAGTGTGTCCCCTTTCAGTCATCCCACGATGGCGAACACATCGAACCTCCCAGTCGTATAATACAGTTCAGTACCTAAACCCCCAAAGTAGGTAAAATAATGGCCCAATACCTATAAAAGGCTCTTATTCTACATACTTTGGGGGTCCAGGTAGTCGTCGTCGTAGCAGTCGTCGTGGTGGTGGTTTTGTTGTCAGGATGGCACGACTGGGAACAGGGGTGGCTGGGGCAACAACCCCCCCCGCTAAACCCTAAGCACTAATCCTCTCCTGCAGCCCCAAGACCCGAAACCAAGATCTTAAGCCTTCGATCCCTAAAGCAAGCCTATGACAGGTTGGCAATGCGAGGACCGAACTACTTACATCCAGGTTTGGGGACATACTGTTGTAGAACTTCCTGTGCGGAGGGATCGTGTTTCTGATCAGTCAGACCGCTGCGCTGACGAGGGCTTGCACACAGCCGTACCTTGATACCGGAACATCACTTGATACCCCAAACTCTAAACCCAAGCCCTATGGCCTTTACCTCTACAGTTGGAAGGACAGGCCCCTGCAAGCCGGGCTGCGCGAGGCTTCCTGAGCTCCGCACCCCGAGTGCCAAGGTCGCGTCGGCCGGGACCTTGCTTTTCTTTTCATCTTTGGTGTCAGTTTTCTCTTCGTTTATTGTGACTTTTGGGTTCCGGATGAGGGAACTTTCCAACGATCCCATGTAAGGGAATACAGCTGAGTGAGACAGAAGAGCAAGGCATCTCGTTCGGATTTGGAGCACTCCCTGTGTTCAGCACTGACAGAAACTCCTGGCCTCTGAAATAGTGATTGCGAGCACTTGGAAAACCGTTTCTCTGCGAAGTCTATTTAAACGCTACTTCGGGTCGCTTTGTGAGCTTCTAGTCTAGGGTTGCTGGATCATCCAAAATCCTAAACCCCCAAAAACGGCGCAAATCTGTAAATACTCCAAGTTGTCTGAGTTGCTGGATCAGCGTTTGATCAACATCCATAAACCTTAAGGACGAAATGAACCCTAAAAGGGTTTAAGGTTCATATACCATACAGGGGTTCATAGTATAAGGGTATAGGGCCCCTACTTTTAAGGGTCGTTTGGTCCTTCAGGAACATTCATGTTTCCAGAACCTGTAAGGCGCCTTCCACACTCATATAGAACCCAATCCCAGAGGGTTCAAGTACCCAAATAGTAGGGTTTAGGGTTTAGGGTTTAGGGTTGTTTCAGGTCCCCAAATCCATGCTCTGAATGGTTTTTGGACCTTGAGACCCTGCTATTTGGGTACTTGGACCCTCTGGGAATAGAACATCATAGAAACGGTTGCCTGACCTCATGAACAGACTACCCTCAAAACCTTGTTCAAGAAGTGAAAGGCCGTCTTAAGAAACGTATGTAAATCCCCCAGATTCATGGCAGGCGTAACCTCAATCCCGAAACCCTAAACCCCAAAACCTTACTTCCTAAACCCTAATCCCTAGGCCCTAAATTCCTAAACCCTGAACCCTAGGCCCAATTCCTAATCCCTCAGCCCTAATTACAGAACCCGAATCCCTAATCTCTAAAACAAAAGGCGGCACCCTCCGAGCCTTCTCCCTGTCTACGATCTTCCTTGCCGTCTGCGTGGCGGCGAAAGAGTGCGCGAGGAGGAGCCTTCCGTAACTAGCGGTTTAGGGTTTGGGGGTTCCGGGTCAGGGTTTAGGGGTTTAGGGTTTAGGGGTTTAGGGATTTCGGGTTTAGGGTTTAAGGGTTTAGGGGTTTAGGGGTTTGGGATTTAGGGGTTTAGGGGTTTAAGGGTTTAGGGGTTTCGGGTTTAGGGTTTAGGGCTTCGGGCTTAGGGAGCCTGGAAGGGCTTCAAAGACTTGATTGTTTGTAAGCGAAGTCTGTTTGCGAGGCTTTCCTAAGGTTTTAATACGGGTTCGCCATATTCTTTCGGGGCCTTCCAGATTTACTGGAGTCTTATCAGGAAATTCATCTGGGGGGCATCAAAAGTGTTTAAAATATGGTTTTTTGCTAGGGTTCTTGGGGCTCTGAGGGTTTAGGGCACAGGATCCCCCATGACTAGAGACTCGGTTTAAGGGGCATAGTCTACGTGCTATAGTCATACAGGGACGACAGACTTGCAGACCTACTGCATAGGCACTCGGCTGTTTCTGCCCTACTCTCGCGAAGCGACCGAAGCAAGGGCATAGGCTACTTGACTGAAACCTTTCTACCATTCGCCACTGTCTCGATGCTCCCCACCTCTTGAACTCTTGGAAGCACTCGTAGATGGATGACGTCTCTCCTCAGGACACTGCTCAAGATAAAGCATCGGAATGATCACTTCTCCGATCCCTGGCGATGCAGATGTCAACTGGGTCTCTCCAGCAATGTGCTTGCATTGGGACCCCCTAGAAGACCCTATGAAGACCTAAACCGTATGAACCCTCATCCCTGGAAGCGATTGAAGCATGCAACAGGACCCAGGTCGACTCCCACGCGCTCGAGGGCCCGAACCCAGGCGCTTGGCAGACTTCGACTTCAGATGCCTTATGTTAGCGCACGAGCCATATTCCGAAATACTGTGTTGCTGAGGAAACAGGCTTCAGTATGCACTCATTCATGTGTCGTGGCCTCTGACACATCAAGGAATGGATCCGTTTGCCGCGATTCGACTGCACCACCTAACTCATCAAGCCTGCTCCCGACCTTCCAATTCTGCAGGAACATACCGCAGACGAGGCACATCATCTCCAGAATCTCCTGCAGAATCCGAACCTCAAGACGTCTGCTGAGTCGATTGAATGGCAGCCCCGCAGCAGCTGTGAGCTGCAGCGCTGAAGGACGAAGCCATGTTGAGGTTCGGACCATGACCGCTGTCTTCCGTGTGGTGAGGCACATCGACTGCAAGGTCATCTTCACTGCGACTTACAGTAGGGGTTCCTTAATAGGATCTATAAGGGACCCTTTAAAGGATCTATAGGGTTTGGGGGTTCCTTTGCAGTAAACCCCATAAAATTGGAAACCGGATTAAGGCCAGATAGTGCTGAGATTCCCTATACATTACTCTTAAGGGTGAGGTTTTTGGGTTTCCAACTTTTGGGCTTCTGTTGTACTTGTCCACCATCCTATGGAACTCAAGGTTGAGCTTTGGGACTATATCGGGGTTTGAAGGGAGTTGGAGTTTCCGAGAATCACGGGTACCTTAATTTGGGGTCCTTGGAATAAGGATCCCACTTTTTAGGGTGCTATATTCGGCTCCCCGATTTTCGGAAACTCCCCTAACACCCCGAAACAGTTATAAAGACTACCTACTCCACCCTACGGCTAAGGTGCTGAGAATGGCATGAACAGGTCTGGCCTCGGCATAGGTCATCAGATCATCGAAAAGATCCAGAACCACCTGCCAAAGGTACTTCGAGGTTCGTGGGTACTTCTAGATGGGGTTATAAGTCCCCTAATATGGGGTTAGAACAACAGTTATCCTACATACAACCCGGCTGGGCGGCTAGCAATGGACAATGTAGGAGAGTGTCGGACATGATGTAGGGTTCAGGGTTCAGGGTTTAGGGCTTGATAAGTATGAGTAGACACTGCTAGCTAGAGCGTCGCTATCATTCCGGCTATATTCGCAAAACTGATGACAGTAGTCAACATCATATCGATAGAACCTGGACCGCAAGTGTATGTATAAGATTTTTTGTTATTCGGTATTGGGCCATTATTTTACAGACTTTTGGGTTTTTAGGTAAGCACAACACTGCCAAAGGGGTTGGGGCTTAAGGCACTCCCTGCAAAAAGACTTTCCAGCAAGGCGCAGCTTTTGGCTTGGATCGGAAAGACCAAAACTCTCATCGTGATCGATTTTGCTGGTTAGCGGCCTGTCAAACCCTCATAAAGCCGCATTGACCGTCATAACCCCGCATGGCTCGTTTTCTAAAGCAACACGCACCATGCGTTGCTTTTGTTTCCAGCTTCTGCGTGACGGCAAGCAATATCGCCAGGGCATTAACAGGGCTCTAGGGTCTGGGTTCACGGTTTAATTCGGGCTTCTGGTAGCGTTTACGGTACCTGAAACCGAAACAGCCTGAAAAATCCTTCGAAACCCTAAACCCTAAACCCCTAAACCCTATCCCTTCGAAACCCTGAAAAAACCTAAAAAAAGCCCCAAACCCTAAACTGCCTCCTGCTGGAAAGCGCGGCCGAGGCGATCGCCCAGCCCAGCAGACGCGAGCAGGGACCGCGCAGCTGACACAAGCTCGGGAGGTTCAGGTTTTCGGGATGGGTTTAGGGCTTCAGGGTTTAGGGTCATTATAAGCTTTCTAGGTTTGCTCAGGGCTTTGTAAGGGCTCTACAAGCTGTTACAACACCTTCTTAAAATTATGCAGCAATTTCTCAAGCCTTGTAGGTTTTGTAAGGGATTCAGGCTTAAGAAATCTCCTTTGTTAAGCCGCGCCACGTAAGAAGCCCCGGATGAGTTCAGCGATATTCTTCCCCGAGGCCGCAACACCCCGGGGACCCTGGGCCCTTGCCTCTGAACCTCTACTGTACATTAGAGGGCCCTGAAACCACTGGAACTGTAAACCTTAGCACCGACCTGGATCCCCAAACCCAACAAAATAGCAGGTTCTGACCCCTTAATTAGAGGGTCTAACCACTAAAACAGTAGGTTCCTGGATCCCCCCAAAAAACCCCGCACATCAGAAAACCCACAACGCGAAGCCGCTCAAACCCGGCAGAGGCTTCCCTGAAACATCCAAGCGAAATCCTGAAAGCCTCACTTGGAGGTTCAGGGGTAGTTATCAGTAGGGTTATAAGTAGGGTATCTATACTTCTAACGCATATTAGGGGACTTATCACCCCACGTATAACTACCCCTGAATCTCCAAGCATCCCTAAACCATTGAACTTCCGTAACCCTGAACCCTTCAAACCTCAAACCCTAACAGCTTCTTTTACAGAGCTCGAACATAGAAGGCTGAATACTTCGTAAGAATACTGCCCCCTAATCGTCCCAATATAGGGGTATATCATGCAACCTGAAGCCCCCGCATGACCATAACCCACACCCCATAACCCTTAGTGCTAATGATTCTTATAACCCTTAGTGCTAATGATTCTTATAACCCTCAGTTCTAATGATTCTTATAACCCTCAGTTCTAATGATTCTTATAACCCTTAGTTCTAATGATTCCTAGATTCTAATCGAATCCTCATAGGGCCCCACTCTTCCTATTGAAGCCTCTCGACTAAACCCAAAGTCGACAGTTTAGGTCTAACGGTTGATGATATAAATCCTGCATTACCTTAAGGACGCTAAACTATAGGAATTATGGTATATTCCTTATTATGGGTACCTTAAGGACCCTAAACTATGGGAATTGTGGTATATTCCTTATTATGGGTACCCTAAGGACGCTAAACTGTGGGAATTGTGGTATATTCCTTATTATGGGTACCCTAAGGACGCTAAACTGTGGGAATAATGGTATATTCTTTATTATGGGTAATGCAGGATTTATATCATCCACCGAAGCAGCCTTCCAGGCCCTCATCATCTGCCCCGTTCTCTGCCTGCCGTGCGGTTGTGGGTCAAAGTGTCTTGTTTTTGCTTTATGTAGTGGCCTTTTCTCCAGGTCCGGGCGTAAAGTGTTTAGGCGCAGGATTTATGTACAGGGGCTTAGGGTTGAGGGACCCAGAGAGCTCGACTTGCCCCTTGCTAGTAGAAAAGATGACTGAAACTTGGCGGGGTTTGAGTGTAGGGCTTTGTGGTTCAGGTTTTAGGGCTGGGTGTTTAAAGTTTAAGGCTTTTCTGGCTTCAAAGGGGTTCAGTGGTTCGGGGTTGAGTGAATTAGGGTTCTTCAGGTTTTACCTACTTTGGGCACTTCATTGTGAAACGCTAGAGGTGCGATCCAACAAGCCCAAGCACTAGAGGCACATGGCTGGCATGAACCAGATGTACCAATGAACCGGCTCCCCGAACTTGTGACGGCTGCAACCCGATGTCACTGATGTATCGCCCAGTATATATGAAGCCCTTGTAGAACCCTTGCAACGCCCTTGCTTATCCTGAGAACCCTCATAAACCCCTTGCAAAGCTGGCACACAGTCAGGCTCAAAGCATAATTTCGGAAAGCAGTCACTGCTTATTCTACTGCGGTCTTGACAACCACCGAAAACCTAAAAAAAGCGCAAGCCCTGAAACACCGAACCCTTCAACTACACCCTAAACCCTAAAGACCCATCACTAAGAGACTTTTTCGCGGATGCCGGGGTTAGTTTAACAGCGCAGCTCGCTCGGTAGACTTCGGCAGCCGGAGCACCTGCAACGGTTTAGGGTTTAGGGAGTTTCATCCTTTTCTTCGGGTACTTTTGTAAGGATCCTATGGTACATGAGGAGCCGCTTTCTTCGGAAACTACCACACATGATTCATGATGCTGAAATGAAGCCAAACATGATCGACATATCACGGAAACTCTGTCGGAGGATGCAGATGTCGGATGTCAATCCGTCGAACTTGGGCGCCTGGTTTTCGCCTCTTCAGAACCCCCTGGAACCCATCTTGAACTACCTAAAGCCTCTTATCACCCTTCTTTTTCATGCTGTTGGGTTCAAACTCCCCCCAAAACCCCAAAGCTTGAAGGCCTCCGGGGAGGCCAGCTGGGCCATGCAGAGTCCAAGAGCCAAAGAGCTCGCCGACAGGGCCGCGACCTCTTTGCAGCAATCGAAAAACTCGGGCACGCTTTGGGGTCTTTGGGGTTTAGGCTTTGAGGGTTGGGGGTATAGGAGCTTAGGGTACGAAAACCTGTCCAATAAGATTCCTTGGGTCCTGAGCAAACAGAATCGGGTTCTGGGGTGCAACATGGTAGTCCAGTATATAACGGAATCCTCTCACTTACCTTTGGTTAGTAGGGAATGGAAGAATGGTAGTCATAGTAGTTATCTTTGTACCCCCTTCTTCCATTCCCTACTAACCAAAGGTAAGTTTAATTGGATGTTGGGGGTTTGACGGCTCAGGACCTTTGGGTCACTCTTCTCCCTTCCTCTCATCTCCGCCCCCAAACCCTCAACAAGTGAGACTAGACCCAAGAGTAACCTAGGAGAAAAAAGGGTGCCCTTTTTGGGTTAAAGGGTGTTATAAGAGAACCTAAACCCTAACAAAAAGGGAATAAGGGCCTACTCTGGGTCCTAGGAGAGGATCTAGGACTCTGACTGCTGTCGTCGGATGTCGTGGCCAGCGCCTGAAGCCGAGGTAAGCCTGAGCGGGCTTGATGCTGGGACTCTAAAACCTAAACCCCTAAGCCCTAAACCCCTACACCCCAACCCCTAAACCCCTAAACCCCTAGATCCCAAAACCCAAAACCTGAAACACAGATCTCTAAAATGAAGGCCCTACTACTCTGGGTCTGTTAGGCCCCCTTCATTCTCCAAAACATGCTTGATACCTTTGCCTCACTCTCCCCAATCTTAGCACAGCCTAGAGACCCAAACCCCTAAGCCCTGAACTCTGGTTCACGCCGTAAACCCCCGGACCATACACCCGTAAAAAAAAAAAAAAAACTTCCTGAAGCACATAAGCTCTAAAGACCCAAAACCTTAGACCCCAAACCCAAAACCCCAAAGCCCCTATAGACTGCTAAACTCTAAAATGGGAAAACCTAAACCTCAAACCCCAAACCCGAGGCCGTCGAGACGCCAGTGGGAGAGCCCCGCCAAGCCCCAGTAGCGCGGCGCCGTTGCGGAACGGGAGCCCTGATTGTTTAGGGTTTGTGGGCTTAGGGTTTAGGGTTTGTCTGTGGTTGGGGGCTTTAGGCGTGTGGATTTAGGGTTTTGGATTTGGAGTTCAGAGTCTTTAGGCCAGGAGGAAATCCTTAAACACCTGTAGTACTTGGAGGATCATGGGACTTAGTAAGTAGGGTTATAAGTACCTTAATTGGGGTTAGAAGTACTTCTAAGTACAGTTACCTTAATTATAACCCTAGTTACTAAGTCCCATGATCCTTTAAGTAACTCTGAACATCAGGCAGCCAGGTGTCCGAGGAAACTGAGAAAACCGTCGGAAAATGGCGTAGCATTGCTTCCACGCACGAAGCACGAAGGTTTTGCTAAGCAGAGGCTTATTACTGTGGTGGCCTTAACAACCAAGAAGAGGCTTTGGGGTATATTATACTGTAACTATAATGCGGAACCCACAAACCTTATTCTAATCAATGTATAAGGCCCCTGCATTACTTGCTACAGCGCGGGGGGGCCATCCCTTGCCATGCCGAGCTCAATGTGGGAGTTTCCGAAAACAGGGGTATGTTATTTAGGGGGTCCTTATAATAAGGGTCCTACTATTTGGGGGTGCTACATAAGGGTCCCCTATCTTCGGAAACTCCCAGGAGCCTCTTTCGTGACAATGAGAGTCGGAGATGCAACCTTCTGCACATTGCCGCGACGAACCCCGATCCCCCAGGTCCCACCGGCAATAGTACTCTCCATAATTCTAACAATATGATAATAACAACAGTATAAAGAAAAATATTAACAACAAAAATTAGTCAACACTATTGACTAGTATGAACAACAGTATGAATAATACAAATTTAGTCAACACTATTGAATATGAACAACAATATAAATAATGACAATAACGGTAACAGTGACAAACCTCTACACTGCCAACCCTTGGCTTGTCTGCGGGAGCCTGAGCTGCTGGAGCTTGCCTGCGACGAGCACTCGCAGCACGCGTCGTTGTCCTTTTCGCTTGCACTCCGATGCTGCTGTGGTTTAGGGCTTACGGTTTGGGGTTCGGTTCAGTTTCGAGCTGCATGCAAAAACCGGCTTGCAGAGGATGGAACCATGGGGATATGATATGCACTGGAGCCGTGGCGACAATCCTCGTTCAGCAAGGTGTACTGCTGAATAGTAGGTAAATATAGTCGTGGTATAGGTACAGTTTAGTCAAACTAGACTTACAAAGAAGTCATCATATAGACAAAATAAGATGACAAAGTCCCTCCAGTCTCCTCCTTGACCTTTCCGGCTCCTGCCAGCATTGCGGCTGAACCCCACAAGCCAGCGACCTTGCTCCAGCCAAGCAACAAGTGCTGCGGGTGACCCTACCTGCGTTACCTTTCTAGTATCTTATCAGGCTGTACAAGTTTCTATGTAACAATCTTGTATGAATCAGAACGCAGCATTCTTGTAGACAATGTCATCCTGTAACTGTACTGCAGTTGTCTAGATTCTAGAGTCGGGGCATGTTTTGTCCAGCGCAGATGACATGCCAACACGACAGCACGCATAAACAACAGCTTCGACGAGTTAGGACGCATGTCCGTGGAATGCCGGCCGCGTCGAGCTGTGAAGTAAGGACGCAACTGCTGGTGGGATGAAGCACAAAGGGCACGCCTCGGAGACAGCAGCATCGCTGGCGACGCGGGCAACGACAATCACAAGACAATCGGTCAAGATCAAGGAGGACTGAATATGCTGCAAAATTTTATCCCAAAGCTGTCAGCGACAAAGTTGTACTCCCCGAAGCTTGTGCTGCTAGTACACTATCTTCAGAGTTGGTGATCTTGGGAATAATGCATCCACCGACCCCATGACTCTGGAGTCAAAGGCGCTTTGACCCAGGCTCAAAACTATATAATATAGGGGCCTCAATTAGAATAGCGTTTTGCGGCCCATTATACTATATTCAGAATAAAGAACCCCAAAAATAGTATTGGTAATTATTTAGGCCCCTACATGAACAGCCCAAAACCCTCAATCCCCTAACCTGAACCCCTAACTGCCCTTAACCCAAAAATCCGAAAGCCCAAAACCCTCAAAACCTAAACCGCAGAATGACACCCTGAGCAGCGCACCATTGGAAAGGCCGGGCAGACGAGGCTATCCGACGTGTGCTGAAGCTATGTAAAGTGATAACCCAAAGGGTCCTATGAACTGTTATGGGGGATACTTCCCTAAGTCATAACAGTAATTCCTAATTCGGAAACCCTACATTCTACTATATCGGTACTTTGGACCCTTTGGATAAGGGTGTAGGGTTTAGGGCTGATGATACCTTACGTATGTCTTGCTGCCGCTTCGACGGAGCATGCTGCTATTCTCAAAGCTGCGGCTCTGAGATTTTCAATGGCCCCGATAAAGCAAACATCTCAGCTACGGAAGGATTGAAACAGGAATCATGCCTCCAGCGCTTGAGACACATCAGGCGGCATTGCTTCGCATGAGCTCCAGAAGCAACGTGACAGAGGAGCATTGGCTTGACACAACAAACTCACATATCAGAAACCCAGAGACTCCAATATCCGTAAATTGAGGAATCATATTAGGGATCCTACTATCACTACTATAATTTAAGGTGTATTCCTTGATTAAGGGATAGTGGAGTCTCTGGGAACTAGACCACGGGCCTTCAGATTCCGGTATTCGGTGACCTTGGCAGGTTCACACTGAGAAGACCGCGCTGTGCTGGAAGCATGAAACCACGTGGGCTTAGGGTTTAGGGTTCAGGGTTTAGAGTTTAGGGTTTGGGGTTTCGAGTTTAGGGTTTAGGGTTTAGAGTTTAAGGCTTGGAGTTCTGGGTTTAGAGTTTAGGGTTTGGGGTTTCCTGGCTTGCTAGGCAACTTGCGGGCCTGCTGCCTGTTCGTTCCGCTGATGTTCTAGTGGTAGCAGAATGTAAGGTACTGTGAAGGGAGCCCTAAACAATCAAAAAGCCTAGAGGACAAAAAAAAAAAAAAAACACCCGAAACCATGCAGGCCCTACACTACCCTTCAAATAGCCTACAAGGCCCTATGAGCTCGATCAAAACCCTCATAGATTCCCGAAACAACTCGACTCGACCTTGCAGGGGACCCTCCTTTCGAACACCCCCCCCTCCCCTTCCCCCTCCCCCCTACTTGGAGGATCATGGGACTTAGTAAGTAAGGTTATGGCTAGGGTAACTATACTTATAACTGCTTATAACCCCAACTAAGGTACTTAATTATAACCTTACTTCCTAAGTCCCATGATCCTCCAAGTATCCGGCGCCCTGAGCCGTCGACCTGCTCTGGCATCAACGAGAGGGACAGTCCGGTTCCGAGGTCCTTGTCGGAAAGGTTCGATTTTACATCGATGATCCGCTCGATATGCGGGGGGGGAGGGGGGCTGAGTAGCGATGCAGTTCCTGATCGAACATACATGATAATAAGGGAAGTAACGACAACAAACTAGTGTATCTCTTCTTCCGTCTTTAGCATGCTTGTTCGGATCTTACCTTTGCATGATCTGCAGCTTCCTCAAATCTCGGGACCTCCAGGGTCGGGGATGCAACTTGGTTTAGGGTTTTAGGGCTTAGGGTTTGGGGCTTAAGGTTCTAAACCCTCAACCCTAAGCCCTTGCTCATAGCTACATTTTCGCTGCTGACTTCTCTTCTTTGGGCTTTGAGTTTAGGGCTCAGGCTTTCGGGTGTATAGGGTTCGGTGAGACACTGACCCTAAACCCTAAACCCTAAACCCCAAACCCTAAACCCTAAACCCTAAACTGACGCTCTGAATGTTGAGCAGCTTCTGAGGACAACCCAAAAAGACCACTTCGACAGATTCTTGCGCTTGGAGCCCGCTGCCCTCTTGCAACAGACGAAGAAGGATCACAACAGGAAGTCAGGGAAACTACTGCGAAAACTAGAGAAGATACGGAATGATGATACAGAGATACATAGAGAATGCGTAGAAAGTACTCCGAATATCTCCCTTTGACAACTAAAACAGCGCTGGGGTTTGGCCCGGAGCTCTAAAGCATCAAGTTCCTAAACAGGAACCCGAATTGCTGAGTTCATACGCCCCAAAAAGTGTACACTTTCAGTTGTATCCCAGAAAATGTATAGTGTATCCACTCAGCTACTAAGGGAACCCCACCAGTAGCGATTCTACCAGACGTCCGCACCTTGCTGCCAGTCGCGAGACCTTCGATCTGCTCAGGGGTGAGGGCAAACGCGTAAGCCTCGCCGAAGGTCTCGCGAAATAGGGTTGGTGTTTAGGGCTTTGTTTTTTTAGCCACTTTTTTGATGACTGCCCAATCCTCTGGGGGTGTAGGGTTTAGAGTCTAGGGTTTAGGGTTTAGCATTTGAGGCAAACAGTTTAAAGTTTGGTGCTACATTGGGGTCTAGGCAAGGTGTGGGGTTTAGGGCTTACGGCTTAAGGATCTATTAGGGCTGCTTCAGTAGAGGCTTATAAAACCGTTTGGTGGTAAGGTTAAGGTGGAGTGATCGGTCCTTACATTAAGACACCTCAATACATGACAATCTCCAGAAGAGTCAACTCACATCAGCCGATCTCTCGAGATGTGCCCTTAAACCCTAAAATCCTAAAATCCTATGATCGGCTCTTGCTCCACCCCTCAAACTTACCTTTGGTTAGTAGGGAGTGGAAGAATAGTAGTAATAGTAGTTATAATTGTACCCCATTCCTCCATTCCCTACTAACCGAACGCAAGTCAAAGAGCCTGAATGATCTGAAGACACGAACCCAACATCTGGAACCCCCGAAAGCCTCGAACTCCGAAGCCAAAATCTGCAACCTGACACCTCAAGCCCAACTAGGATACCCACTAACCTAAGAATAAAAAGGCCTCTCTTTTTGGTATTGGGTAACTTTATAAGGAACCTAGGACTACAAAAAGGGAATAAGGGTACTACTGGGCATCCTAGCCAAAACCGTCAACCCTGAACTGCAAACCCAGAGCCGAGTCTGCTCCTTGCCCTGATATCAAAACCCCATCGAAACCTGATAAAGCTTTGCAGAAACCCCAAACAGTTCCGCTATAAACACCCCTGATACCCCTTAAAAACACATGAAGGGCTTAGGGTCCGGGTTCAGGGGTTTTAGGTTTAGGGTAAGAAGCCCTTCTAGTGGCGCGGTCTTTGCCTGCACATCCTTCACGCCAGCACCCGATGCAATCTCCGCCTCTGCTGGCCCGAGCCTCAGCATTTTGTTTTCTTCTTGGGAAGTACTGCAAGGGTTTAGGGCTTCAGGAATTTTCCTGGTGTAACTTTCAGTGTATACGATTATCCACAAAGACGAGTATTGGATTTTGTCCTTGCGGCAGGGTCATGGAACACAAGAGAGTCGCAGCCCTTGGTTCACTGAGCAGCCCTGCAAGAGCGGTCGACCCGGCGCAGCATGGACCTGCAAACACAGGTCTCCAAAGCGAGAAGGTTCGCTCGTTTTTTCCTTTCCCCAGGCTTGAGGGCATGCCCCCGCGGGAGCAGCCCGTCTGGTGAAGGGATGCACGGGCTCTCTCTCTCTCTCTCTCTCTCTCTCTCTCTCTCTCTCTCTCTCTCGCTCTCTGTCTCTCTCGCTCTCTCTCTCTCCCTCTCTCTCTATCTCGCTCTCTGTCTCTCTCTCTCTCTCTCTCTCTCTCTCTCTCTATCTCTCTCTATCTCGCTCACTGTCTCTCTCGCTCTCTCTCTCCCTCTCTCTCTGCTCTCCTTACCTGATCTTTCTCTTCCTCTCTGCGTCGTCTACGTAACATAGCATAAGATAGTTTAACATGATGGCACACCAGGCGATATAATATCTCAATCGTCATCATTCCCAAGCCTCCAACGCAATGGCCTCACCTCGGCACGGGCTGCAGGCTCTCCATGTACTATGCTGAGTTCCTTAGAAAACCTCAAAACATAAGCTCGAAACCCCCAAACGTCACCCAAACCCCAACAACCCTGCAACCCCATAAAACCCCTTACAACCCTCTGAGGCCCCCTGAACCCCCAAAACAAAAAACTCTGAGGCTGAGCACCGTCGGGGCATCCGTCCACAAACAGCGAGACGAGACCGCCTTCGATGACCGCCTCTGCTACAAAAGGGAGGCGCTGCTGTAAGCGTCCTTGAAAATCAGGGTGCCACCTGAACCCTTATGACTTAACAGGGCTTTCGCGGGGTCTAGTTGGGGCGCCTGGCTTTCTGTACTTCCCACTTCGGCTCAGAACATACACATGCCGTGCCAGGGATCCTTTCAGACGTGCCGTGATCATGGCTTCATGCCCGGGTCAATCTTGTTGGCATGGCTGTTCGGTTGAGGAGGCCTTCATGTCAGATCTGCGGTATAGAAACGCCACCTTCGAATCCTTCGCTACGCTTTGTCTCTGAGGCAGCGGCAGCAACATGATGCCACTCCCTGCCACATACAGGGGGATGCGTTCACCCTCTACACCTCAACTAGGGAATATTCCTTGGATCATGAACATAAAATCTAAGCTAGATTCCTCAGCTCCTTGTGTATCAGTAAGGCTATACCATTGCAATCTTCCTTCAGTGCAAGGGGCGATAACTCCGTAGGCGTGGGCTCCCGTTGCAACACAGGCCGGGCGCTACCCATCATTGACGGCCGTGCTGCCGACCTCAGAGAGCAGATACTCCCGGAAGGGATCCTAGATGGTTCTATAACAATACTCATAGCAATGGCAGTATAATAGTAGTCAAGGCTTCTGTGGGGTTTGGTGTCATCCGGGTCTGGTTGTTGCTGAAGTTTGGTTCTAGCGGTTCAGGGTTTTGGATTAAGGCTATCGACATACGGCATGCGGACGTGGGGTTAAGCTGGTAGGGGTTTAAGAGGTTTTGTTTGTTCGGGATTCGGGGCTTAGGCCTTTGTGTTGTAGCGGTTCAGGGTTTAGTTTAGGCTTTGCGGATGAAGGATTTGGAGCTTCAAAAAGGCATTTATGATTTACGGTTCTTCAGGGTTTGGGATCTTAGTTCATTCGGGTTTGGAGCTTTGGGGTTTAGGGCTTTAGGGCTTCAGTTTGAGTCCCATATTATTGGAAGTGTTTCCGAACCCTTCCGCTGTGAGCATAAGTTCCTTTAAAGCTCCAAGCCCAAGCCCCAAATCCTCTAAAACCGGTTTCCGAGAGCAACCCATATGTATAGGAACCCATTTTCTAGCCCCTGTAGTAGTCCTTAACATACGTCCTCCTTAAAGTAAGCCTTACAAGGAATCCTGATGGACCATGGTCCGACAAGCATGCATCCTGTGAACATGGACAACAATCACACGGCGGCACTGCGAGCAGGGTAGCAGTATAAGGGAGTAGCATTACTAGCCACACACACACCCTATGAGCATGCAACCTACACACCCTACATACTCTACACCCAAAACCCTACACCCTCAAAGCCCCAAACCCTCAAAGCCCTAAAGCATCAACTTACCTTTGTTTAGTAATTAGGGAATGGAAGAATGGTAGTAATAGTAGTTATAATTGTACCCCATTCCTCCATTCCCTACTAACCGGTAAGTCAAAGGCCTAAAGCCGCTGAGGACCCTGCAACCTGCGTCGGCGGTCCCGCCTCAATTGGAGGCCTGCGACCCAAGACGCCCAAGAGCGGTGGCTCTTCACGGGCTCTTCAAGGGGCCCTATACAAAATATAACTTAATGAAAAGCCGAATGTACTACAATATAGCAGATATGGCATGATCCAGTATTGAGAATACAAATGGATAATAAGATAAAAGACAAAATAGACAAGGGCGCTAGACAAGCTTCTTAAATGTTATTCAAGGCTCTTGAACCTCCGGGGGTGTTGGTTGAATGCTTGCCTCTTTGAGGGCTCCAGACTGGGAATTGACATGTTCCTGGGAGCTTTAGAAGGGCTTGTCTTCGGACTCTTGGTTGGACGCGTTCAGGCCTCTGAGGAAGGGCTCCTTGGGTGTTTGAACGGAACTGGGTGTGTCAGCTACGGCACTGAACGCAGCAGCTTCATGTGTTTTTGTAACCGGCAAATCAAGAGTGTAGGTTGAAGAGACACGAATGACCAGGCCAAGAAAGGCTCAAGTGTGCACATACAACTTAGCCACTCTAGGGGCGTGAATGATTGGAATAGGGTTGGGCTATGTCATGCACATTTGGGACTGTAAGGGACCATTCCGGGGCTCTTCCTTATCACGGTTCGGGGCTTCCCCGAAGTAGGAGGCACCCACCGTGATGCCGCATCATAGTTCCCTCCAACCCAGGCCCCTGAAATCCTAAACTCCCTAAAAACCTTACTTGGTTACACCCCACCAGCCAACAGCCCTCTATAGACCCTTTCAAAAACCCTGTATATTCCTGAAAGGAGCCTCGCATAGAACCCATGATTAAAGCCCCAAAGCCTCCGCTCTCTTTGCTCTCGATCTAATGTCCCCGGACCCTTATGGGGGTAGGGGAAGGGGGGGTAGGGGACTTTGCTTCCTTAAATAGGACTTACTAGGTCCTTCTTATGAGCATGAACCCTAAACCGAACGATCTGCAAGATTCTCAGCCGCGGGCTGGGGGGCTTCGTCCCCGGCATCTTCTGCACCTTCCTCCACCTGCCGCAAGTCGGATTTGAGATTCGGGTTTAGGGTTTGGGGCTTAGAGGGTACAGTCGGGTTTTAAGGTTTCGGGTACCATAGATGTGTTTACTTGTTTGTTTATCTGTTCATCTATATACCTATCTATTAAGTTATTTGTATGTGTGATTCCTTGTCTTTGTTTTGTGCTTATCTGCTTATCTGTTATTAAGGTCTTTAGTAAGGTCCTCTTGCACGGCCGCCATCTACAAAAAAGAGCCCTCAGCCCTGGTCCCGACAGCTGCACCAACAGTAGTAGGGATTTATACTAAAAATGTGGTTCCTTCTTATGGTAGCTTATAAAGCACGTCCTATTCTGTATAAAAAACCGCTAGCCCTTAACAAGAACCCAGCCAAAAGCCGCCTTCGCCGGCTCTGGAGTCGGCGCAACGGAGAAGCTCACCTGAGCACAGGCGACTCAGTGGGGTGGGGTTTCGGGTGTGGGGTTCACGGTTCAGCGTAGGGGTTTAAGGATTTAGAGGTTTAGGGTCTAGGGTTTTAAAGTTTAGACGTTTAAGGGTTCAGGGATGAGGCTTACAAGGAGTAGAGAACGGTTGGGGGCTTCAGGGTTTAGGGTGTAGGCTTCACGGTGTAGGGTTTAGGACGCAAGCTTTAGTTTACCGTTTAGGGTTCAGTGCTTAGGGTTTCAGATCATTTCGTGCCCTCATGTGGGGATTTCATAATAAAGTTGATGCTAGGGGCCACGGTAAACAGCATACGGTTTCGGGGTACACTATGCCAAATGTACTTACATTGGGACTGATATGTCTCCTTTGGGAACAAGGTTTCGGGCATTGTATACCATGTTCGTACACAGAGACTGCCAGGGTTTACTTTTTTGAGTAAGGAATATACCTTGAATTACAATAGAATCCCTGACATGATTTGAGGTAGGTTCCTTAATTGTATAAGGGATATTGGAGTCCCTTAAACCCTAAATCCTATAGATCCTTTATAATTATAGATCCCTTAAGGGCCCTGTATTGAGCCCCGAAGCCTCCCAGGCCAGAGCTCAACACATACTTCCATCCTTATGTCTTGTGGCCAAGCGGGGACTGTTCTAGAGTGTAGGGTTTGGGTTTAGGGTGGTTCATAGTTGAGTGGTACAGTGTTCTAGAGTTTAGGGTTTAAGTTGGCAAGATAATTAATCAATCGCGAGCATCGGCTCTAAAATAGTTTTCGCTGCCGACGGCGCCCCGCCTTTTCGCGGCGGGAGGGCTCAGTATCCCTTCGGGGAGAATCCAAGTAAGCGGCCTTGTGGACCTCCTGGACGCTGCTGCTGTTGGCCTCGGACCAGCCGCTCTCCGTGGCCTGCTCCGCGAGGCTGTCGTACATTTTTTTACATGAGGCCGCCGTACACCTGGGAGTCGCCGCCACATTCCGTGCGCCTGCAAGTCATGCGGCCCAGTTCGTCCGCGTAGGTCCCGCCCTCCTGCCAGGCCACGCGGTCACCCAACCCCGCCATGCCGTCCAATGCAACACCCAGCTTGTGGGAGCTGCAGGCAGGTGGACGTGCACGTCGTGTGGGGCCTCTGTCCACACCATGGTGCTCTGGATTTCCAGCGTGCTGGCATCCACTGTCATCGTGATCTTGGCGCCGGGGATGCTCCCACTGCTCCCACCCACCACATCCTTCACATAGCCGTCGTTCAGGTCTGGCACAGTGATTCAAAGCTTTGTCTCTCTCCCTCCCCGTCTCACTCACTCACTCACTCTCTCCCTCTCTCACGTTCTCGCTCTCTCTCTCTCTCTCTCCCTCTCTGTCTGTCTGTCTCTCTGTCTCTCTGTCTCTCTGTCCCTCTGTCTCTCTGTCGCTCTGTCTCTCTGTCTCTCTGTCTCTCTGTCTCTGTCTCTCTCCATCTCTCTGTCTCTCTGTCTGTGTCTCGCTCTCTCCCAATCTATCTGTCCATCTATCTCTCTTTCTCTCTCTCTCTCGCCGTCTCTCCCTCTCCTGTCAAGTGACGGACGGATCCGGCTCTGTGGTTTGCTTGTGTGCGATGCTCATGTCCGAGCCATGGCCGGCTTCAACTCCCACTAGCATGTGCGAGCCCGCACTCGAGTTGTGGACCGCTCGTTTCTCCTGCCAACTCGTTGGAGTTGGCATCTGTGGAACAATTGCATCTGCAGTTCCGGAACGCGTGGAGCCCACGTTCTAGCCGTGGACTGCCTACCACCTTGCTGGCACTTGCAAGTCTTTTCTCCTCCACTTGAGCTCTTTGCAAGTCTTCGCGCATTTCTCCATAGTGACAATTTCCCACTCCCTCTCCCACACTCCCTCTTTCTCTCCCTGACTCCCCCTCCCTCGCCGCGACTCCCGCAGCGACTCCCCTGTCCACACTTTGCACAGCAGCAGACTAGCAGCAGCAGCAACAGCAACAACGACGACGGCGCCACCATCGCCACCCACCACCACGAGGAAGAACAGTAAGGAAGAAACACTGTTAACAATCGAAACACCAGGTGAAACAGGCACGACAAGAGCAGCATACCAACAAGAACCACAGCAACAACAACGAACAGACAACGACCACGACGACGACGACAACGACAAACGACAATGAGGATGAACACGATGACAACCGTGGTAAAAGCAACAAGACGAGCATCAGCGGCAAAAAATCACGACAAGAAAAGCAATAAGAAGAACAACAAGAATGCTGGTCCCTTGGCTCCGTCTCGCCTGCCCAGCAAGTTAGCACATTGGTTGCCTGCATGGACAGATCGCTCAGAAGCCACACGGTGACATGAACAACAGCTCTCGGGCAACGAAAAGACAGCTGAGCCCGGTACGCATCGTGAGCATGACGGCAGCAAGCAACACAGCAAGTTCCTCATTGCAAGGAGGTGTCTGCAGCTCCTGTGCTGCTCCGGCTCGCCTTCTTCCTCCTCGTCGTCTTGCCCCTAAGACTTACTGTAGAGCTTCGGAGCTGTGGAATCCGAGATTTAAGATTGCAGGAGAGTTCAGTTCTGGTTTTCGGGCTTTAACACGCTTCACAGATTCCTGACTAGGTGTGTTGGCAGTGCAGACGGGTTTGCCTTAGACTGTATGTTTCCGATTCCTGCCTTAAGGCCAGAGAGGCTGCAAGCGGTCAGGCTTCGGCCACGCACCGCAAAGGCCATCAGGAACTCCGCCCTGTAAACAAAGCCTCCGACAGGCTGGGCGAGGGTGGACCCGTAATTGACGACGAGCTGGGTTGGTGTGCCCAGCTCCTCTCAAGCTCCCCGGATAGCCCTCGAACGACGTAGGAGGAGTTCAAACCTCCCTCTGCGTCCAGGACGCAGCCCGCCCCCGGCTTGAGCTGCAGGCTCCTGAAACCGTCTCAGAGCCTCGTCATGTAATTAACGTTGCTGAAATCTTTAAGAGCTAGGGTTGCTCTGGCGTGCGGGTTGTTGTTGTAGTTGCTGCTGTTGTTGTTGCTGTTGTTGCTGTTGTTGCTGTTGTTGCTGTTGTTGCTGTGGTTGCTGTCGTTGTTGTTGTTGTTGTTGTTGTTGTTGTTGTTGTTGTTGCCGCTCTTGTCGTTGGTGCTGCGTTGCTGCTGTTGTTGTTGTTGTTGTTCTTGTTTTTGTTCTTGTTATTGTTCTTCTTGTTGTTGTTGTTGTTGGTGGTGGTGGTGGTGGTGGTGGTGGTGGTGGTGGTGGCGGCGGTGGCGGTGGTGGTGGTCGTGGTGTTGCTGGTGGTGGTGCTGGTGCTGGTTGTGCTGGTGGTGCTGGTGGTGCTGGTGGGCTGGTAGTGCTGGTGGTGCTGGTGGGCTGGTAGTGCTGGTAGTGCTGGTGCTGCTGGTGCTGCTGGTGCTGCTGGTGCTGCTGGTGCTACTGGTGCTGCTGGTGCTGTGTGCTGCTGGTGCTGCAGAACAGATGAGCACTTCGGAACATGACACTAGTTCTTCAGACTCCCATTATAAACTATAGACCATGATAAGCTCAGAGTAACGTCCCAGACAATATCCTACATAGACATCCTTGTCAAAACGTCGATAACATGGTAAGACCCTGTAACTATTAATGCCCAGTGTACAAACTCCCATGTCAATCCAATTCTGTCTGGTTCTTAGTAGGGAATGGGGGAATGGGTTATGTGGACTATTACTGGGGATTATACAGGGAATACTTTAGGGATCCATTCCCCCTTTCCCTACGAAGCACCAGGGAGAATTGCGCCGCCAAGGCGCCGTGGCTGCAGCTGAAAAGAGCCAGCCGTCTGGGAGCTCCCCTTTGGAGAGGATCCTGTCGTCTAGGTTCCTCAGTAGCCCCTTTTAGAATAAGGGTTTCCAGGAGTTAAATGTAGCCGTTTTTGTACTACACAATCTTAGCCTGTGGGGAGCCGGCTATTTGGGTTTGCAGGAGGAGCTTCCTGGGCTTCTGTCAGGTTTGGGGCTTTTGAGGTTGAAGGTGCGGGGTGCATTGCAATGCCCCTGCATTGAAGACTACACCCTACTAAAGATCCTAAGTCGTCAACCCTAAACTGGTTTGGGGTTTAGGGTCTTAGGGTTTCGGGTTCGGGGGTTTAGGCAGTTTTAGGGTTGAGGGTTTCGGGGCCGTCGGCCCTAAACCCTGAATCCTAAACCCTGAACCCTAAAGCTCGGAGGTCCTTCCGCCCTCTGCTGCGCCCTCCGCGGGCCGCCGAACATGCGCGCAGAGCGAGAAGGCTCCGGACCTTGGGGTGGAACGCAGCATACCGTACTGCGTTATGGCATGTTATGTCAAGATAAGATGTAGTGACATTCATATACGACTCGAGATTTATCATACGACCTGCATTACAAAAAGCATCACTGTCGAAAGCAGGATATGCCCATTGGAGTCTTGTTGCCGCGACATTCTTCAGGCATCTGGGACTGCACTGCCAAGCGGGCGCTGTTTGTGTTTTTGTTGTGTGCATGCTTGCCCGTGCTTCCTTGTGTGCGTATGCTGCTGGACTGTTTGGTCACTGCCGCTCGTTCTGCGCGAGCTTCAAAACACAAACAATCGTGCGTACATTTGCATGCTTGCTTGTTTGTGCATTTGTGGGCTGCTTTGTCGGTGTTTCAAATGCATTTCTGATTGTCTATGTATGTCCTGCCTAGACTACAGACTCTGGTGACTCCAGCCCTGTTGCACAAAATACTTGCCCATTCTCCACACAATACAAAGTGCAGCTGCCGGAGAGATTTTGCCGAACTCCGACCCCAAACCCCAAGCAAGAGCAGGAACGAATCCCTCAGCCTAAACCTTCCTAGATCCCTTGTTGATCGTGTGTAGCACCCTTGTAGATCCCATGTGCAACCCTTGTAGACTCAGTCTAGTATATACCCTTTTAAAACGCGGATGGAACCCTTACAGAATTCTTCCAGAACCCTTAAAGATCCTCCTCGTGGAACCCACAAAAAACACATACAAAACTCCTGAAACCCTTGTAGTAGATGTAACCCATATAGAAGTCATATGATCCTTAGAGAAACCATGTTGACCCCCTAAAACATCTAAGATTGTAGATCCCTTATGGAACCCTTACAGATTCACTTCCCACCTAAGGCCTTGGCACGGCAGGGACATCAAAGGCATCGCCACAGTCCACGACATCTGCGACCTCTTCCGCCGAGGCCCAGTTCGGACTCAGGAAAACCTCGGCATTCGGATTTACGGTTTGGGGTTAGGGTTTGGGGGTCGAGGGGTTTAGGTTTAGGGCTGTAAGTCTTTTTGGGCTCTAGGAGTTTAGGGGTTTGGGGTTTGCTGTTGAAGTGCGCACGGCCGTTGCAGTCATGTGTCAAAAACGTTGATCGGGTGCTTCGTTTCGGCAGGATGTTGAGGCTTAATTACGGCGGGCCTGCTTGTTCATTTTCTAGATCTCCCCACCCTGCACCGTTTTCGGCGGCCCGACCTCATCTCGGCTTAACTTGTCATTTATGGCATTATGGATTAGCAGCTCTTTCTAATATCACTGCACCCTCAACCCTGAACCCTAGTAAATATTGCTTTTGTCTTTACCTTGATCACGGAAGCACAACTCCCACGGCTTGCGACCGAAGCGCAGCCGGGCAATCCACTGCGTAGATGTGAGGCCCTGCACCAGAACAACAGTAGCAATAATTATGGCTTAGAGTTTAGGGTTTAGGGTTTGGGGTTTAAGGTTTAGGGGTGCTGGGTTTGCGCTCCAGGACATTTGATGGTCCACCGATGGGTCCCGAGGGCAACTCCAAAATTCGGACACCCAAGAACCTAAACCATCTGAAAACCGCGGGCCTTAACAACCCAGACCCCCGGGAGGATCGAAAAAGCAGATTTCTTAATGGGGGTTCCTATAAAGTACCCTTAGTAGTATAGGGCCCCAAATTAGGGGATCTACTTTTTCTAGATCCTCCCAGGGGTCTGGGAACTGGAATGGGCTTCCTGTACGGTGGGTTACTGTAGGGGTTCTGAAAACCTAGAATAGGGCTTGGGGGGGTATATTGCAGTATAATTACCATAACGAACCGAATGATATAACAT